TTGTTGAAGATAATCTCGTCGCATTATAAAAACAGTAATAAGCTTATGAAAATGATGTTAGTATGAATATGGAGGTTGAGGTTCAATCCCCACCAGCATTACCAAGTTACTGATCTCATCTAAAACATATTCGTCAGTCGTCACTAATAAAATAAAATAAATTAAGTAGGCGAATAGTTTCAAGTAAAAAGGCTTTTTAAATTGGTCACTGCAAATAAGAATGGTGTCTTCCACTCTTCCAGTAGAGGATGGCTTATTTTGAATGTGGCACTCTCCTGTTATGGATTCACATCTACCACACTGGTGATTGCCTGATTGGAAGCAAATAAGTTTCTCTCAAGCAAGTAATGATATGGCTCCCCACGACATTACTGTGCTGACTGATCGAGATGATGATAGCTATGGCTTACCCCTAACGCCTTTGGGAATGTGTGGCAAAGCTATATAGTGGAGATGCATGATGGTGACTGCACCAACGGGGGGTCGAAAAGTAAGCATCGTCGTGTGCTGTGTATTAGCCTATACAGATTTGTACATGAGTAATTTTCTTCCCAACAAAATGGTAGCAATTTTCTTGGATTATCAATCCATGAATTCCATCTCTTCAATTTTTTTTAAGGAGGCAATTAAGTATATATGGTTTGCACCCAAGTGCTAGAAGTATTCTTTTCTTTGATAAACTGAGTTATATATCTAAATTAAAACATTTTATCAATCTAGAAAATTAAATTTAGAATGTTCTTAAACAAGTGAAAAAAGGACTACATATAGAAATAACATACCTTGAAATGCAGCACCATGGGTGTCTAAGTTGTATTATGCAATCCAAGCTAACTAATAAAGGTGGGATGGGCATGATGGAGAATGGGGGCACATGAAAAGCTAACTAACTAGTTAGCTATAACCTTCAAAATTCACCTTAGCTTATTTAGGTAGCCAAGCTACTGTTAGCTAGTAATGCACGTGCCCTGCTTCTCCATCTTGCATTACACACCTAGCTAGGTTGTCTTGTTGCTTATTTGCCATGGAAGGAAGGAACCAAGAACCACAGCACAGCACAGCACAGAATGAAGTCAGAAGAAGCAAATATATATGTAGAAACAAGGCTGGAGTTTGTTTGTTGTGCAACACGTACAGCAGAAGAGTGGAAATGTTAGTGATATATAGATAGATAGATCATATCCCTTATTCCCTATCTCCACATGTGATGCATTCATCCCATCTATCTTCATATATCACCTTCCATTCCATCTAACTCTTTATTTTT